AGAAGTAAGATCGATACGTGCGCCTTTTTGTCTAGGCCCCAACAACTGGAGAAAGAACACTGATGAGAAACGACAGTCAGAGTGTATTCTTGATCATGAAGCAACAAACAAATACGTGCGGTAAATTGGGCGTACGCGAAAAGACGTGATGAAATACCAATCACATCGCGACCTTGACACTCAGGTTGATCGATCAGACGACAGCTATTTGATTCGCCTTAGTCATCCAGTCAGGAGTCAATTCGGCTTGGGCGTCACGAGCGCACTTGTGGTGTGACGCGGGTCGATGCGTGGCAGGACGGATTCTGTGCGCTCCGTCCTAACACCTCCCCTTTTGAGATGTACGTTCGCAATTTGGGGTTGATTTGCAGTCTTGTGGTTGGCGTCCGTTTTCTGCTTGTGCGTCGGCTTGGTAAAATTTGTGGTTGTTGCTTTACTTCCCTTGGCTGTGATGCTCTCGGCAAACTGAAGGTTTCCAGCAGCATGTCGAAGGGTAGTTGTGGACTTTGAGTCCTTTCTTCGTGGCATTTCGTTGGCCTTAATTGATTTGCGTGACGCAACCAAACTTCGGATTGTACTCGTACATTATACAATACAGCTCCACGTCTTCTCAGAATTCTGCCAGTTGCCCAGTGAGATCCGTCTGATCAATAGCATCATGCTAACATTGCTTAACCTGGGGCAAAGGAACGTAGCAAGGCTCCGAGTCGCTGATTGAACTGTTCTTCCATATTTCAGTTCCTTTCAGTGTTGTAGGTGGTTGGGCGCAACAGGTCAAACGGCATTCGTAACTTTCGGTTCATCAACACCTCTGCTGGGGAAACTCCGTTTGGTGAGTTCAGATTTGGAGTGCATCGATATAGGAACAGAAACCTTTCGATGACTTCTGCGGTTCATCCCTCCCCTTTTGATTTCTGGAGTGCCCGCTTGAAGATATCCATAAATTTTCCGCTTGGCCGTTTGATTGTGGATGATAAGGCGGGGAGTGTGCGTGGGTAATGTCATTTTGCTTGCAGAATTCTTTGAATTGTTGTGATGTGAACTGAGTGCCGTTGACGCTAAGTAGTGTTTCAGGGATACCAAAACGACTGAAAACCTGCCGGAGGTTTGCGATTGTTGAGGATGACATAGGGCTATCCAGAAGGAAAATCTCGGGCCATTTGCTGAAGGCATCGATAGCGATAAGGTAAGAATGACCAGTGATCGGTCCTGCAAAGTCAACGTGAATACGCAACCAGGGTTTGTCAGGAATTGGCCAACTGGAAAGCTTGGACTTTACTGGCATCTTAGCAGCAAAGGCGCATCGATGACAGTTTTGGGAGAGTTCTTCCCGTTCTTTATCCATGAACGGCCAATAGACGTAACTACGGACGAGTGCACGCATAGGTGGCACATCTGAAAATAGCTTTTGCAACTTTGGAAAATTTCGTTTTCTAAATCGTGCTACTTTTATAATTGCCAATAGGTAGTTTAACGTGAATGCCAAAACAGGTGCGGAGCAACATGCACGCACCTTTCTCGCGATACCATTTATCAAGTTATCTCCTAATGACCAAAATAATACAAGGTCATGTAGAAACTATTCAGAGTTGGGGCAGAAAGAGAACTATTAGAATAATTCAAAGTTGGCATGTGGATAATCGGTTGGAACGTCATTCTGGATGGCCTGAGATTTGACGCGGAGATCTACAGCGGCATTCTGTCAACGAATTCAATTTGACATTGTTCTTTACGCCTTTTCATGCAATATACGAACACGGGAGAACTAACGTGTAATGCAACTGTGGGAGATGATTGTGAATGTGCACCACTAAGGAGCTCTCTCATGTTACAGTTTCACCTTCAACAACAATCTTTTACAACCTTTTACCATGCACTTTCGTGCGCCGGTTTCCGTTGCTGTCTTTTGGCTGCCCATTGGGATGGAGAATAGGAGAAGAAAGGAAAGTTGAAAGTGGATTCGAAAGGAAAATGGAGAAGTTCAGTGGACTAAGGTTGGGAAGAAATTGAGGAGATGCACGAACGCCACTGTTTACGACACCCAGCCATATCGCTCTATTCATCGGTTACGACCATCCCGAGGTCCCCATCCAGAGGGCTTAACGGGACCTATGGTTAGGGTTTTCATATCCTCATGCCAATTCTTAGCCTGACCACTCTTGGCCCTTTTCCAACCACTAACTGCCTCGGCAAACTGCTCATCGTGGCAGCTTATCTGACGACATGCATTACCCATGGACTAACCAACGTAATCTATGGAGGTCGACCACTTGCTCAAGTGGGTGACTGCGGTGACATAAAACTCTGTGCCTAACCTCAGCATTGCTCATGCGGCTACCCCACCAATGCTCCGTAGACGGTGGCGTTCGAACACCGGCAGTTTATTATTATCCTGTTTTCTTAATGACCACGTTTCTGCAACGTATAGCAAAACTGACCGAACTGCCGCAGCATACACTCGACCCTTCACAGACAGCCGGATGTCGCGATGGCGCCACAGATGTCTCATGTCGGCGAACGCCAACCGAGCCTTCTGTATGCGAGCTGACACTTCATCCGTGATGCGTCCACCGGGTGAGATGTAGCTGCCCAGATAACAAAACTTATCCATTTGCTCTATTAGTTCCCCAGTTAGAGTGAGGCTGGGTGCTGGACCAAACCAGTCTTGTAGTAACATTTTACACTTTGAAGGTATAAAAAGCTCACTGAACATAGCTTCGTTGACACTCAAACTATCCAGTAAAGCTTGCAACTGACCTGGATCTTCGCTTAGGAGTACAATATCTGCATATTCCAGATCAGAGAGTCTGCCATCTGGGAGCAAATCAATGCCACTATTGTCACACCAGGATAAGGCTGTTTCCATAATCAAACCTATAACAAAGTTAAATAGAAAAGGAGAGAGAGGACAACTCTGAGAAACACCACTTTCCGTGGTGAACTCGGGTGAAAAAGTGCCCTAAGCTCGGACTCGATTACGGCCGTTAGTATCAAGACTAGCTAATGTATTTGAGACATGCCTCTTAGCGGACTCTCGCAGTTCAAGGAGAAAACAGATCATAAATTTTCAAGCGCAAGCGCTTTACAAAACGGTTGGTCGGTTTGGATTATGTAAAACCGAGGCAAATCCAATGTAGACAACTGACCTGCCATCCGGTGGCAGTGACATCAAAATGATGATGAGCCATGTGAATTGCGACGGGCCATTGTCTGTGAAATCCACTGATAGACAGCCCAGACAGCTAATTGAGATCAGCTTCTCAGTCGATTCTAGGGTTTTAGTAGGATTGAACATAACGCAGCAAGTTAGGTACAAACATCAAACACTGGTTTCTTACGTCTCTAGTGAGCACTTATCAGTTTGATGAAACCAAAACCAAATGAAGCCTCCAAGAGCCTTAATATGGTCGGGGGTGGGTGTCTAGGGTTGCGGCTGGTCACGCTTCCCTTGCACCTCGAGAAATGCTCCCATACGACCAAGCGTCTCAAAAAGCCTCTGCTGAGGAGGCGCTACTCACCGCCTCCAAGTGGCGGAGGTGTTTTCCCACCAAAGTGAGAGGACGAAAAGTCGACATCCGCGGCCATAACTGGGTTGGTGGACCACTGATAGTTCACCCAGGGGAGTTGGCCAAAAACCCTGATTCCAAACCAACCAAGAGGACACGAAACACGCACACACAACTTCCTGGTTATGACAATGGTCATCTGCTCGATTGGGC